TCTAATGCGTCGTGCGCAGCCTTGACCTCATCAAGGGTCGGCACGCCTGGGCCATTCCTTGCAGTGTGCTCCTTCTTACTGAGAGCCTCACCGCGGTTCACCCATGCAGACAAAAATGCGATCGGCTCCCATCTACCGAAATTAGCGCACTGAGCTGCCCCTAGGTTTCTTTGCTTAAAGCACGATGCGTGGTGTTTGCATCGAATTTTAACTCGAGTGTATCTCTGATCGTAATCCCACCATTCCTCATAAGCAAGCTTGCACCCTCCAATCTCGCCGGGAATCTCGCCCCTACCCAGGGGTCGGTGCGGTACTGGTGCCGGTGCAGCTGGAACACTATCACCGACAATATCTTCCTCCAAGTCGCCTCCCATGCCCAGCCCCGCGGCGCCGCCTCCTGCGTCCCCTCCTCCTCCTCCCTCCGTCTTCCCCTCCACCCTCAGCCACCCTCCACCCCTCGTTCTGACTCCATCGCGCGTCCTTCTCCTTTCCCATTTCCTCCCCCTGCCAGCAGCTACCGGACCTGCGAGACCTGCTCCATCCGCTGCCTCTTCACTCCCAACCCCTCCCCGTCCAGCAGGCGCAGCAGGCTCGAGCTGCTCAACGGGTTCAGGCGCAGGCGCGCCCTCTGGAAGATGGTCAGGGCCCTCCTGGAGTAGGAGCAGTCGGAGCAGCAGAAGGAAGAGAGGTTGCGCCAATAAGATAAACCACATAAACATAAACGTTCGGAGTCCGAGCGGGATTTCTCAGGTCGGCGCTGCTGGACCCCCCTGGCGGCCCCTCGGGGCGCCCCCAGCGCCCCCCAGCCCAGCCCCCGGCGCGCTCCGCATGCCAGGGACAGGGTCCAGCGCCGATCCAAGATTGCGCGGAGGACCTCCGAACACACATTTCTGTTCAGGTCGTTTTTCTTCCTCCAACTGCGGGACAAGCAGGATGCAGGAGATCACAAGCGCAATCACGAGATTGCAAACGAACGAACAACTAACCAGTCTGACCGTTCAGCCAGCCAACCAACCAGCCCAAGACAATCTAGGATAACCCAAAGACCGCCAACCAAACAACCAACCAACCAACCAACAAAACAACCAACCAAACCAACCAAACAACTAACCAAACAACAATCCAACCAACCAGCCAACCAACTAACCAAACAACAACCCAACCAACCAGCCAAACAACCATCCAACCAACCAACAAACAAATAAACAAACCAACCAACCAAACAAACAACTAACAAACCAACAAACCAACCAACCAACCAACCAACCGGCCAACCAACCATTTGTTTTTTTTAACCCTGAACACTGGCAGCTACAGGTCAAGGATGAGAGGGGGAGAAAGAAAAATAAGGAGGAGGAGGAGGAAGAGGAGGAGGAGGAGAGGGAGGACGAACAGCGGCGGCGCCAAACTCGATGGATATAGGCCGGTACGCCCGAAAATTGACGCATGGGCCGGTACCGAACAAAACCGGATCGAACCAAACCAAACCAACCAAGCAGGAATCCAACCAATTAGTCAACCAACCTTCCAACAAATGAACCATCCAAACAGCCAACCAAAGACTGCCGACCAACCACCCGAAAATAGACGCATGGGCCGGTGCCGAACAAAATCGGACCGAACCAAACCAAACCAACCAAACAGGAATCCAACCAACTAGCCAACCAACCTTCCAACGAATGAACCATCCAAACAACCAACCAAAGACTGCCAAATTTGGCCCGAATACTGCCGACCAACCAACCAACAAACCAATCATTCTAGGGCCCCGAGGGGGAAGGGGGCCAGCTTACTTTATCCTCTAGAGCTTCCTACACAGAGTGATGCCACGTCAGTGGGTATCTACACGCGTTTCTCGGGCCCTTAAGCGTCCGTTTTCTCTTTTTTGGGTCGCTGCCGAGGGGCCGAGAGGCCCTAGAAGAGCTGCGTGCGCGTGTCTGGATGCAGCGATGCAGCTGGGCGGGGGTCTGGCGGACAACGGCAGGAAGCTTCTGCGCGGGGGTCCGTCGAGGAGGGGGCGGGGCAACCAATCGCGACATCGCGAGTCGCAGCCCTCCCTGGCAGGTGACCGCCACATTACTTGGCGGGGTCCTCCTCCTCCTCCTCCTCCTCCTCCTCCTCCTCCTCCTCCTCCAAATGTGCAAAAAAAAATCTGCGGGTGCAAGAGGCGACCATGCGAACGTTGAACGCAATGCACTATGCAATATCGCAGGAGCGCGATGCATCCTGCACTCGGCACCCATGTCAAGTTGAAAATCCAATGTTCAAAACCCAATGTAAAAATTCATTCTCTGGGCGCGAGAAGCGGAAAAAAAATTTAGAATATTAACGCCGGGCCTCGGGCGCTGGTTTTTCCGCCAGGATGCGCCGCCCAACTGCCGCGTACGCGGCGCCGCTGGCCCTCGAACGCTGCGTTTTCCCATGCAGGATGGGCCCGAGGCTGCCGCGCGCGCGGCGCCGCTGGCCCTCGAACGCTGCGTTTTCCCACGCAGGATTGACGAGCCCAGGGCTGCCGCGCGCGCGGCGCTGCTTGCGCTCAAGCGTTGCGTTTTTCCATGCAGGATTGGCCCCAGGCTGCCGCGTACGCGGCGCCTCTGGCTTCAAACGTTGCGTTTTTCCATGCAGGATGGGCCCGGGGCTGCCGCGTACGCGGCGCCGCTGGCCCTCGAACGTTGTGTGTGTTTTTTTTTTTTGTTTTCAGGCGGGATGGGCCCGCGGCTGCCGCGCGCGCGGCGCCCCTGGCTTTCAAGCGCTGCGTTTCTCCATGCAGGGCGGGCCAGGGGCCGCCGCGGACGCGGCGCCGCTGGCCCTCAAACGTTGCGTTTTTTCCACGCGGGATGGGCCCGAGGCTGCCGCGCACGCGGCACCGCTGGCCCTCGAGCGTCACGTTTTCCCACGCAGGATGGGCCCAAGGCTGCCGCGTGCGCGGCGCCGCTGGCCCTCGCAGGTTGCGTTTTTGCATGCAGCGTCGGCCTTCAGGCATTGTGTTTGTCCACGCAGGATGGGCCCGCGGCTGCCGCGTACGCGGCGCCGCTGGCCCTCGAACGTTGCGTCTTTCCACGCAGGATGGGCCGGCGCTCGGTTGCCGCGTGCGCGGCGCCCAGCGCCGCTGGCCCTCGAACGTTGCGTTTTTCCATGCAGGATGGGCCCGAGGCTGCCGCGTACGCGGCGCTGCTGGCCCTGAAACGTTGCGTTTTTCCACGCAGGATGGGCCCGGGGCCGCCGCGCACGCGGCGCCGCTGGCCCTTGCGTTTTTCCATGCAGGATGCGCCCAAAGCCGCCGCGTACGCGCGGCGCCGCTGGCCCTCGAACGTTTTGTTTTTCCTCGCGGGACGGGCCCACGGCCGCCGCGAACGCGGCGCCGCTGGCCCTCGAGCGTTGCATTTTTTCTCCACGCGGGACGGGCCCAAGGCTGCCGCGTACGCGGCGCCGCTGGCCCTCGAAAGTTGCGTTTTTCCACGCGGGGCGGGCCCACGGCTGCCGCGTACGCGGCGCCGCTGGCCCTCGAGCGCTGTGTTTTTCCACGCAAAGCAAGCCCAAAGCTGCCGCGTACGCGGCGCCGCTGGCCCTAGAAAGCTGCGTTTTTTCCACGCAGGGCGGGCCCACGGCTGCCGCGAACGCGGCGCCGCTGGCCCTCGAGCATTGCGTTTTTTTCCCAGCAGGGCGGCCCCAAGGCTGCCGCGAACGCGGCGCCGCTGGCGCTCGAGCGTTGTTTTTTTCCGCGCAGGACGGGCCCGAGGCTGCCGCGTACGCGGCGCCGCTGGCCCTCAAACGTTCAGTTTTTCCATGCAGGATGGGCCCGAGGCTGCCGCGTGCGCGGCGCCGCTGGCCCTCGAGCATTGCGTTTTTTTTTCCACGCGCGACGGGCCCGCGGCTGCCGCGTGCGCGGCGCCGCTGGCCCTCGAGCATTGTGTTTTTTTCCGCGCAGGGCTGGCCGCGGCGGGCCCGAGGCTGCCGCGTACGCGGCGCCGCTGGCCCTCAAACGCTGCGTTTCCCCATGCAGGGGCTGCCGCGTGCGTGGCGCCGCCAGCCCTCAAGCGCTGCGTTTGCTCGATGCAGGGTGGGCCCGGGGCTGCTGCGTGCGCGGCGCCGCTGGCCTTCGAGCGCTGCGTTTTTCCATGCAGGACGGGCCCAATGCTGCCGCGTACGCGGCGCCGCTGCCCCTCGAGCGCCCGTCTTCCATATGGGGGCGGGCCTGGGCCCCGGGCCCGCGGCTGCCGCGTACGCGGCGCCGCTGGCCCTCGAGCATGGTGTTTTTTTTCCACGCAGGGCTGGCCGCGGCGGGCCCGAGGCTGCCGCGTACGCGGCGCCGCTGGCCCTCAAACGTTGCGTTTTTCCATGCAGGATGGGCCCAGGGCTGCCGCGCGCCCGGCGCCGCTGGCCCTCAAACGTTGCGTTTTCTCCATGCAGGATGGGCCCAAGGCTGCCGCGTGCGCGGCGCCGCTGGCCCTCGAGCGGTGTTTTTTTTCCCATGCAGGATGGGCGTGCGCGGCGCCTGGCGCCGCTGGCCCTCGAACGCTGCGTTTTCCAATGCAGGGAGGGCCCAACGGGGCCCAAGGCATCGTGTTTTTACGTGCAGGATGGGCCCAAGGCTGCCGCGCGCGCGGCGCCGCTGGCCCTCGAACGCTGCGTCTTTCCACGCAGGATAGGATGGGCCAACAATTGCCGCGTGCGCGGCGCCCGGCGCCGCTGGCCCTCGAACGCTGCGTTGCCCCACGCAGGATGGGCCCGCGGCTGCCGCGCGCGACGCTACTAAACTTTAGCACTAAACAGGAGGAGGAGGAGGGGGAGGAGGAGGAGGAGGAGGAGGAGGAGGAGGAGGGACCAGGAGGAGGAGGAGTTGGAGAAGGAGGAGGACTCGGACTCCTTTAACTCCCCCTCCCCCTCATACTGTTGGTGGAAGTTGCAATGCAATGGGCGTGGCTGTAATGCTCATTCCTCCACTGGCCCCCTCCATCATATTCCGCCCATCCGCCCACTTCCTCCGAAAGACCGGCGACCTCGAAGCCGTCGATGTCCATGCCCCCCTGCGCGGCGCCGACGATCTCTGCGTCGAACTCTGCAGCTGCCGCGGCGCCGGCAATGCCGAGGGCTACCGAAGGTGCTGGTAGCGGAGCAGGCGGCAGTTCCAGGGCAGGTAAAGCGTCGCCACCAGCGAGCGCCTTCAACGCACCCTGGTACACTGAGTCCCCCAAATCAGCATTGATGCCAGCCAGCTGGGGCGCAGCGAGGAGCAAGCGGTAATACGATTGGGGTTGTCTGAGCGCCACTTGCGCCAGGCCCCTGCCCTCGAGAGATGGAAGAGCGAGGAGGACCTGCAAATCGTGCTTCACAGACTTGTCAGGCATGGCCAAGTAGACCGCTGGCGGCCTCTGGTCTGGACGGTGGGGATCTGTGATGCGCCCGCGTGACCACCCCGCAGCTTCGGCAGCCTGGAGGACCACGTACTCTGGGCACGTTGGCTCCAACGCCCCAAGGGGGCCCGGCTGATGCGTCACGCTGGTTTCTCCGACGATCGCCACGCACCCAGGGCGGGCCTCCGCAGGGGCAACTTCCAGCTTGAAGAAGCTGGACAATATATCGGTCCAAGAAGCAAGGCCCAGCACGTCCACGCGGGCGGCGTCCTCGAAGGGGTACAAACAATTGCCCGGCACGACCTCTTGTTTCTGCGCAAGGTAATGCACGTGGTACCGAACATGCTGGTAATGCGTTTTGACGTACTTCTTGTTCTTCCCGTCGAGCTGGGCCAGCAAATTCACCACCAACCCATTGATTCTATAGTAACCGCGCCCATGTTGCTGGAGCAGAGCCCGCAAATACTCCGCCTGAACTGCAACCGCATGCGCTGGCGTTGCCCCTTCGAGCACGCCACTGTTGTAGGGTACGACTGCTTGAACCTCGCTGCCGGCATGAACGCGGCGCCCAGTGTGCTTGCTGGGCCAACTCACTTGATGCGAAATGGAGGTCCGGAAGACAAGTTTGAAGAACTCCTTGTCAGTGCAGCGCGCAGGTATGAGTCGTTTGAGTCTCCTCGGGTTGGTCTGGAGTAAAGACTTGCGATTGGCCCAGACCTGCGCAAAAAAATCATGGCCACCATTCTCGATCAATGATTCGTATAATTCCAAATTGTCTGCCAACGTGCACGTCGATGCTACCCATGGCACTCTAGAGTATCCAGTCCGGGCTCTTTCATGGAAGAACGAGCGGTGCAACCCTTCCAATGAATCCTCTGCGAGGCGGCACTGGTTGAAGCAGTCCTCCTCAGTTTGGAGCCCAGGGTGCACCGTCCCTTGCAAAGCGCACTGCTCCACCCAACGTCGCACCTCAGTCCCGCGATCCAGCAATCGGAATACCACTCTGCGATGGAGGTGCTCTGGGATCTCATCGAACTTTTGCAAGCATTGAGCTGCGACCCCGGGAGTGGTTACATTCGAGAACAAGTATGGAAGCTCCGACAGAAACGCGAGCTTTGTTGTGATCTCTGCCGCCAGCAGCATGTACATCTCATGGGCGCACTGTAGTAAGTTCGAATCACCTCCAAAATCATCGATGGAGAAACTGGAAGGCCGGCCTTGGAAAAACATAACTTGTTGCCTTGTGAACTCGCGCGCCTCCTTGAGGCGCCTGCCTTTCCATGGACATTTCGGTATGGCTGCATGCGGCTTCCTGTTTTTCATCTCCTCTTCGTGGCACTTGCACGAGGACCCCCAAGTTCGCGAGATATTCACGTCGCGCGCGAAGCAACTTACAAGAATAAGTTGTTTCCAAAAGTCGTCATTGCTGAAAGCGTCATTCACAGATTTAGCCATCTCTTTGTTTTCATCCTGCATGTTCCGAAACAACTGGTTCATCGCAAGTCCCATGTGCGGCCGTAAAGGTGCGAGGATTTTCAGCGTCTCCTTGCAGCGCCCATGGAGAGCGCCCCATCGCCATTTCGCGAAATTTGCACCAAACGTACCAAGAGATTGCGCCAACATGTTGCGCCCTTGCACCATCAGCCACCGAGCCACTGCGCCCCTGTAGCAATGCATCCTGGGAGGAAGCTGCGAGGAGGGAAGGGGGGAGGGGGATGGGCTGGGAGGGGGGCCCGTCCTCCTTCCCCCTCCCCTCCAGGAGGGAAGGAGGGGCTCCCTCGGAAAGACCCTCCTCGCCTCCTCGCCACCACCCGGCCAAGCCGATCCCAAGCTCACGCCGGGGGGGGCCCGAACGACTCACGCTGGGGCAGGGGCCCGAACGATTCGCTCCGGGACGAGGGGCCCGAACGACTCGCACCAGGAAGAGGGGCCCGAACGACTCGCACCAGGACGAGGGGCCCGAACGACTCACACCAGGACGAGGAGCCCGAACGACTCACACCAGGAGGAGGGGCCCGAACGACTCGCACCAGGAAGAGGGGCCCGAACGACTCGCACCAGGACGAGGGGCCCGAACGACTCACACCAGGACGAGGAGCCCGAACGACTCACACCAGGAGGAGGGGCCCGAACGACTCACGCCAGGAGGAGGGGCCCGAACGACTCACTCCAGGAGGAGGGGCCCGAACGACTCACGCCAGGAGGTGGGGCCTGGACGACTCGCACCAGGACGAGGGCGCAGGTGCGCCCCTGGCGACAAATCAGGATAAGCGGAGAAGGAAGGGAAGGCGAGATCAGACTTGGGTTATGATTCCTCGTCCCTGCCAGTCCTGAAGAAGAGAACCAGCGCTTTCAATCTGCCAATGAAGGCAGCGGCCCATGGAACCTGATTGATGCAATACTTCAGAGCATTGTCCCAGATGTGATGCCATCCAGGAACAGTCATGGCCTGGGGGAAGAGGTACTCAAGACCCCGAACCACTGGGTCGACCTCTGCCTTCTGCAACCACTGAAAAAATGCCTGGATACATCGGCCCAGATCGGGCCAAGAAGCGTGTGAACCTATCCTCTCCCCTATGGCTGCGCACTTCGCCCGCCGTGGCCTCGCCGCCCCACCGGGGCAGGCAGCCCAAAAACAAAAGCGGAGGGGGCGGGGTGAAGGAGGACTTCCTGCTTGGCCCCGCATGGGGCCCTGGGCGAGGCGGACGCGGCTGGCGGGAGCCTCGCGCACCGAGTCTTCAGCCTCGTACATCGACGATTCTGTCCCAAAATCTGTGATTATCCAGTGGACCGATCTTAAAAACGAGCGAACCGTGTCCATCGTGGGACCGAACAACAACCACACTTGCCAAAGAAGACAATGGACCTTATCCTCCAACGTTGTGAAGCCGTGCGCTTGCTGGCATATCGGGAGCGAGATGACCTCGGCGGTTTCGATAGAATTCCCGCAGACGCGGTCGACCCAGCCAGCTTGAAGTTGAAGACCGCCTCCCTCCTCCCTCCCCTCTGCCAAATCTATGCATGTCCTTTTTTTCTCTTTCTCTTTCTCTCTCTCTCTCTCTCTCTCTCTCTCTCTCTCTCTCTCTCTCTCTCTCTCTCTCTCTCTCTCTCTCTCTCTCTCTCTCTCTCTCTCTCTCTCTCTCTCTCTCTCTATATATATATATGTATATATATATATATATATTCCCCCGCCCCCCCTCCCCCATCCTCCTCATTGTTCTCCGTTCTCCCTGCTTTCTTCCCTCTCCTCCTCCCCCTTGTCATCCACCGCCCTGCCCTAGGACTGCTAGCGCCATGCCCTTCCCTGCGCCGCTGCCCACAGCCCCCCGCCCCCGCCCTTGGACGATCCATCTATGGCCAGCGTGGTCCGAATAGGAGCCCCGGTAGAACATTCGCGCTGGTGCTTCAAGCGGCGGATGCACATGCAAGTGGTAAAAAGCCTTTTGCGGCCCTGACGAAGGCCCTTCCCGCTGGGGACATCGCCTGCCTCAACTTTCGCCTCATCAGGTCGAGAGGGGAACGCAGCTTCAATCATATCATTCATCGTTTTAGGGGCCAAGCGGAGATCTCTGAAATTCTGCGATGCCTTGACCCATCGAACTATAGAATGACAATCAAACTGGCGGCATTGCGCCCCGCGCACTGGGCGTTCCAGGGGCGCCGTGGCAGTGGAGATCAAAGCATTGGCCCAGAAACCATTGCCTGCCATGGCCCTGGCCTCGCCGCGGGCCTGGCCACCCTGGCCGTGCCCAGGCGCGCAAGATCGGAAATGAGAAACTGCCTTCTTAAGAGAAGTTCTAGGAGGGAACGTGGGACTGACTTGCCAGGCCGTGCGGTTGCGTTCTGTAAGGGCGCACATGTGAACGCATGGCCACGGATGATTGCCATAATCGAAGCTCCGACAGAAGGCATGAGCATATGGCTCCCAAACCTGGAACAACATCGAGGAGAACCTGACATCATCGTGCAACTGATGTGACCGAGACCACCACATGATCATCTCCTCGAAAGTACATACTAAACCAGGAACGTTCGTAAGAAGTTCTAGGCAACGACGACCGTCCCTTGAAATGATCCCCAACACATCCTGAACGCGATGCGGTCCCGGAGGGAGAGGCACTGGGGGGTCGCACCGACTCCACTCTAGCAGTGGGTACGTGATTGCACCAAATACATAATCCTGCTTCGTAGCCAATTGCATCAGGAGATCTAAATTTGCATCCTCGCGCATATCCTCAATACTGATAATCTTCCACTTGATAAGCATGACCCCGATGACATGCTGGCAGCCATCACTGCCTGCCCCTCGCATTGAAAAATACGGTGGGTAATGGGCGACGAGGAAGAGGAGGGGCAGAAAGGGCGGGCCGAAGGGAGAAAGGGGCCCCGGCGGAGGAGGAGGAGGGGGGGGAGGAGGAGGAGAAGGAGGAGCAGGAGCGAGAGGAGCAGCAGGAACAGGAGCAGGAGGGGGAGGGACCTCGCAGGACAGGAGGCCAAGAGGCCCACAATGGCCATCCCCCCTGCCGGGGGCCAGCTTCGGCGGCCCTCTTGGAGCCCTCTTGGGCCCCCCCCTTGTTTTTCGTTGTTTTCTTTCTTTGTTTTCGGACAATGGGGCGACCGCAACGTAACTCGAGTAACCCGTGCACTCCGTGGCAGTTCGCGGCAGAGACTGACCAGTTGCTTTATTTGCAGCGCACGCATAAAAGTAAAAAAGCACTGGCGGGAAGATAAGACATAACGACGTATTAGCCAGATGACCGCTTGAGACCAGAACGACGTTGCTCGGGATTGCTCGCTCCTGTCCTTTCGCTATCTCCCTGGGAGACAGCGCCCAAAAAGGAAAGGCCGCTAGTCCAGCGACC